AAGAGAAAATTAAAAGGGGCGGTTTTTTGATGCTGTCAAGCAACTTGACAAAACAATCACTCTCAATTACAATACCTGGAGAGAAACAGAAACGTGATAACAGAAGACAACAAATATGATCATAAAGAACGAGATTGGTGGCTCCTGGGAGCATCAGTGGATGTTCTCCCACAGAGTTTTTCAAAATTTTCCGATTTGCAGACCCTTAAATAACTGTCAATAAAGATGACTCTACTCTCCTTATGACGAGATGTGTAGAAGGTAGAAGAGAGGTTTTGATAAGAAAGGTTTTTCCCAACTTCAACAAGGTTCCAGGCCTCCACTAGGGTGCATATATGATTTTGTACCTATATCTGTAGGTATAGAGTCATCTTTCTGGGGTAAGTAGCTTACTGGTGAGAGTTTAATCTACAGATCAAGCAGGAAACACTTGTACTCAAGTGGATGTACACAAAACCAAACACACTGGTGGAAGTCCACTCAAGGAGTCATCAAAAACTAGTTTTCAAATAGCTATTATTTATTTCAACACAACAGGCATACCACAGATAATCAAAATAGGTATTTTTTGATTAGTTATAGTATATAAATTACTAATTTTATTGCTTGGTTCAGTACACTGGTAGTTAAATATCATTGTAATATGAAAGCACACTGATTCAAGTTGATGGGTTCTGGAGGCCTTCAACCATAGGCTAACACTGGTAGCAGATCTGGGCCTACAGCTGGGTTTTCAAAATGATGGGGAATTTCTGAGTTTTCATCTCAAGACCAATTTAAAATGTCTATATACATTTTCTGTGCACTCTTACAATTACCTGTGAAATGAACTGGACATTTATTTGGGCTCCATAAAGGCAATCTCAAAGCTGTCACAAAAGTCTGCTTCACTGGATTCTGCACAGGGCTGCCCAGGAGCCACAGCTTCTGGGAGCCAAACACAGGTCCTCCAGGCTCCCTCTTTGTTCTGCATACAGTGCCTGGGAGCTCTGCGAGCGTGGACGGGACATGCTGGGCTTACGACTTCCAGACTCTGTGGCAGACTGCCTGAAACCTCTGGCATAGCTGGCTGCCTTGGAGCTCAACGTGGGAGTCCTGCCAAGCAGACTGCCACATCGCTCCCAGTCGCAGGGGACAAAGCCTTGGGACCTTGGCTCAGATTTGGAGAAAGTTTTGAAACCCAACATGTTTGGAACAAAACTTCTGTTATTCAACAAACTGGCATTTTTCTCTGAAACTTTCTTCATTTGTAATTTGTAAAATTTCAGACCAGTTTTACTGCAACATCTATCCTGATTACAATGAGTTTCTGATACTGACAGGACACCTGGCAGAATCACAGTGGCACCTTCTGTGCTGCTTCCCTGTGAGTGTGAATACTGAGGGAGTTCAGTAAATTGTTGCACTTGTTGAAGAGTAGTGCAAGTTTCTTCGATTTGACATTTCAAATGATGCAAAATCCTGTATAGGGAAATGTGACTTCTCTCAAGCTTGAGGGCAATATTAGAAAAAAACCTAGTATTTTGATTTCAACCCTTCTTCACCAGTTTCTGTCTGCTCTTGCTTTGGTGGTCTCCTCTCTCCTCTTTGTAGTTTTCTCCACTATGCATGCGCTGGTATCACAAAGCAAGACTGGAAGGATTTCTGACCTTGGGAGTGCTGCTGAGTATGGGATTTTCAGATGAGAACCAGGTAGAGATTTAAAGATCTCTTGCTTTTGCCTACTGGGAGACCAGAATGCAAGGGAGAAAGGAGAGCAAAATACAGAAGAGAAGTGATGGATTCGGAGAATGTAAAAACCATCACAAAGAAATGTTTTAAACAAGCTGTGTGCTTCAGCTGTTAGGCCAGGAGCCCTCCATACGTGGCAGAACACTTGTCTGCTTAGGCAAAGCAGGTTGCTACTGAAATAGAGCTTTCTTACAGGGATTATTCGAACAGGGGTGGTGAATGCCATTCATTAGCTCTTGCAGAGACACGAATGGTTCATTTGACCTTACAGTTCTTTGTGGCCCTTCAGTTCTTCATTAAAAAAAAAGAAAAAAAAAGATTCTAAAATATGGGAATTAATGCATTTTTAAGATGCATTTTGTATCAGAACTTCCCCAATGAATAACATAAAACAAATGATTAAAAAAACTTCATTAGAAACAGTAAGAAAGCAAAGAAAAATAACTCTATACACATCTGTAATTAGATAGCAAGTCTTCTGAAAGAAGCGGTCAACTTTTTAAGCAGTCTTATATGAGCTCAAACTCATCAAAATACAAAAACCTGCACTCCCCATTTTAACTGTCGTTGACATCTTATGCATTTATGTCGTTGACATACTTATGCATTTAAAGCTGACCACACATTCTGCTGGTTTGGGAGTCTTCAACAAGGTGTTTGATGCCTGGATTGAAAGAACCCAGTAGTTACAGGACGTGACCGGTAAGATTAGGCAAGGTCAGTTCTACTTCCCAAATCAAGTAGCATTTGCTAGGTTGCCAGTAGGGTGGTAAATGGAAAGCGGGTGATATAATTTATGTTGACTTTTGAAAAGTTTTCTGGCAGGACAATTCACAAGAAGCTGTTAAGGAAACGAGTGCTATCATGGGCTATGGAAAGTGGCTAATAAAAATAAATAATCGGAACAAATGGTTACTTTTCATCATGTCAGATGATTAGTAGTTGGCTGCCCCAAGGACCTGCAGAAAGATTAGTTTATTTAATGCACGTATTAATGAACTGGGAAGAGAAGTATGAGAGAAAAATTTGAAGGGAATACAAAATAAGTAGAGTAAAAACTAGGAAAGATTTTGAAGAGCTTCACTGAGTCATAAGGAAAGGGTGAAATGGCAACAGTAAAGCAGATCAAATGCATAATGAAAAGAATCACACATATAGCTGTGTTCTAAATTAACTGTAACCAGCAAGGAAAAAAAAACCTAAGACCAACTGTGTATCACTCAATGAAAACCTTTATGCAGTGTGTAACAGCAGAAAAAATAATTCTCAAAAGGTTGTATCGCCACTATATCAATAAGCAGTAGGAAATGATTTGGAACAGCTCCTGCTGTTTTTAAAAGGTATTAAAAAAACCCCCCACACACCAAAGGCACGAGAGGATACTGAAAACTACCAGGAATCTGGGAAGACTTCCATGTGGTAGGAAGGCTAAAAAAGCTGGGGCTGCCTACAGATTGACAGGACATCTTCCTCTTTATCCTTTCATGTCAGGACAAGAGCTTATTAAATGAAGTAAAGGTCAAAAAAACCCAAACAAACCCCCAAACTCCAAAACTTAATCAAATAAAATGTGCATCTCATTGGAAATTACTGTCACAAGGCACCATCAAGACTTTTAAGTTTGGTAGGATTAAAAAAAAAAAAAAAAGAATGGGCATATATAGATAGTGAGAAGCTACTTAGTTGCATTAAACTGCATAGCATTGATGGAGAACATAAACCTTTATTCTCTGAGAACTAAGCCAGTCAGTAACTATGAGGATTAAAAAGAAATTTCTCCTGTTTCTTCTCGTTCACTTCAAGGCTGTTTATACCTCCCAGTAAAGTGTGTCTTGTGATTTCTGATGTATCCAGTCACTGTCAAGAGACAAGGACCTGGCAGTTCCGAGTACTCCTGAATATCACGGGCATGAATACTGCAGAACTTGAATGTTATTCAGCCATACTTACCAGGATACTTTAGCAAGAGTGGTATTAATTCTGTTTCTAAAATAATCCTGATCTTTGTAGACCGCTGGGTCTGAGCACACATAACTGAGAAGTGATTTCTTACTTGGTGATACACAAACCCAAAGCTGCGGTATTACACGTACCTCGGTTGTCACTCCTACTCCGTGCCTCATCACCATTTCCCCACAAGGACTCTACACTGCAAAGGCACGTAACAAAGCCCACACTGCTTCATGCTACTCCATGAGAAATGGAAGGAGAGAAGCCAACTGATTAAAAAATGGTATAATATATGGGGAAAGAGCATGAAACTTGGGTTATGTGCTTCTCACCATATCACTTGTGTAGTGTGACAATGATTTTTCCACAAGTGGACTCTCTGTTTGCAGTTGCTGCAAACTACCCACCTCACCGCCCCCCTCTGCAAAAAAAAGACTAGTTTAAATCACATACCTATTCCATTCACAACAGGTGAATCATTACTGACTTCCAACATGCTGGGCAAATTTTGTTCTCCTTCATGATCGTTTAAATCCATGTTTTGCTGTTGTGAGCCATTCCCAAAATGTCTAGAATCTTTCTCATGACTGCCATCTCCATTCTGCAGACCATTATGTGGCTTTTTGAGTGGCATGATCTGTAAACCGCTGGGGGTAGTTCGGTAAGTCACAGTTTTAGCAGCCCTGTCATTAGCAGATGCTGGCTTTGCTGCGTATCCTCTTTTCTGTTTTTGAAGAGATGCATTAATTCTCTTCCTTTTGTGTGTTGACCCTTTAGACTTCCCAGATTCAGAAGGTCTATGTGATATTTTCTCAACAGATGACACTCTGTTTTCCCGTAAAAATTTTGGAGCGCTGGCCTGTTTCCCATGTCTTGATCGCTTTTCTCTAGTAACATGTAGTCCATTGAACTCATCAATAAATTCCTCACAATGTAGTAGATGATGTTCAGGTTCCCAGGTGTCTTCGTTACTTCCGTAGCCTTTCCACCTGATGAGATATTCCCATTTGCCCTTCTTGTTCTTCCTTTTGTCTACAATCCTCTCCACCTAAAAGAAAAAACCAAATCTATCGTATTAGACAGAAAAACAGTTTGGTCAAGAAAACTGTATGTTCTTAAACGTGCCTTAGTATTCATGAGATTCTCCTAAAATGTGGTGCCTAGAACATGAAATGACTGTGACAGGGAAAGCCTACCCAGGCTAGGCAAAATGCAGCAACCTATTTCACAGGTCCAGACGCACCTCCATTGCACCGGACGCAGTCCAACACTGTATTCCCATTGGATCCTACACAGACCCTGCTGACTGCGGATGAGAACCGACTTGGTGCGTGTACAAACTGCTCCACGTGATCGTTAGGAATCAGTGTTGGATGTTTCTGTTCGACAAAGAATTCCCACCAACAGACCTGGCAATACAGGAGAGGAATGCAGTAGCCCCAGCAGTATTGTGACAGCAAGGCCATTTCCCCTTCTGCAAACGTTAAGCAGAGACATAAAGATCTGGGAACTTGCAGTAGCCACAATGCGAGTAAACAAGAGAGACCCTGAAGATCATTAACGAACGCATGATTGATTTGAAAATCCGTTTGTAAAATGAGACTATTACTGTTCCATTCCTCAGCTACCTTGTTTGAAAGAGCTAAATAAAGCATCTTTTGCTATATTGTCAGTTACTGATCATTCTCCTGCATCCACACTTGCATTATGACCCTACAAACCTCCCCATACTTCTTCATGTCTTGGAAAGATCTTGAGCAGAGAACTGATTATAACAAATTATAATATTTTACACCAAAGATCTTATTTGCAGTACTGTAAATCCTCTTTGCTACTTCCAAGTTACAAAAATTTGTTTTTTTTAGGAATGCAATATTTGAGTAGGTACACAAAATTTGTAAGTGCACCAACTAAAAAAAAATATTTGTGAGTGCTCCAATTAAAAAAATGAAAGGCGTAAAGGCAGGATTCTTGCATAGAAGTAATGAATTTCATAAACGTATGCTAAAGAATGTCAGTTTAAGGAACATTTGTGCACCAAGGGATAAGGGACTATATTGGGACTGCAAGCTGCAGGTGAATTAACACACCGTGCTGTTGTGGAAAACGGACAGTACAACTGAGGAAACCTTTGTGCTATTTCAGCTCTGGCAAGATCTCAACTAGGGGGAGAGTGCCTATGAAAACCCAAGCACCATCAGTGGACAGCAAGTCGTGGGTTTAAATTCCATCAAGTGAAATTTAGATCAAGTGATTAGGAAAAATGTTGTAACGGTAGTAAGAATTAAGTATTAGAATCGGTAATGCGAGGAAGGTATGGAGGGTTTTACAACAAACAGTTTTTCTTAGACAAACATCTGACATGAAAAGTCACTGCTGGAAAAGAGGCTTATGATGAGAAAACCTTTAGAAGTCTCTCCCAAATTTCATTTCCCAATTCTTTATTTTTAAAAATTTTTTAAAAATGTGGCTTATGAGGGATAAAGATGCCTCTAATGAAAAAAAGATCATTATCATTAACCAAAAGCACTACGGTTAATTTAGAAAAATAAATAAGTGGATAGCTAATGTAACAGCTTTCATTGCTCTTCATCTTGTGTGAAGAGCAACAGTGGAATTTGTATGGAGCATTTAACCTTGAAGAAGGGCAATAACAGCAGTGTAAGTAATTGTTCTTTTTAGGTCCCCTGTCAGAGCAAACCAATGGATTAATTCTGTCTATTCACTGGCTGGAACTGCACATTCATAGAAATCTTGGTGGGTTCCCCAAAGGAGTCCAAATGTAATTAGCAACTGAATATTATACTTCTATCTCTATTCATTTACACGGGAACTGTTCTAAAATATCTGTGCCTGAGCCACAGTGGACATCTCCAGGGCACTCAACTGCAGCATCCCAAACAGCTCGCTCCTGTGCTCCATCTTATCAAGTATCTGCACGGAACCACCGCAGAAGCAAAGCAAGGCACCCTCTTCACTCCAAATTTAGCACAGTCCCCTTCAGGGTTGCTCAGTGTGGCAAAACAATTAACTGAAGCTCAGTCTAGGCAAGGTTGAGATCATTGGTCTGAAAAGAGGAAAAGTCCTCACAAAACAATGAAGGGGCATTTCTTTTGTCCCTGTTTGGGATGTGCGGCTTTCAATTGTCAAACTAATAGACTTGTTATGATCTTCTTGAGAGCAGCTGTCCCAATTATCCCTGGCTTTAAAATACTTGTCATCCTCCTATCTGGGACTAGCCAGAAAGACTGTACTTCAAACCGTGGAACTCTGTAGTGGCCTGTGGTTGTCTGCGGATTTGTTACTTTAATTACTACAGCTCACTACACCAAGGAGCAAAACATATATATGTATGACCTAGGGTAAAAATTACATTGCTGCTACACTCAGTAGACCACAGCTGTCCTTACTGTAGAGAATTAGGTTTCGTGCTGCCCTGTCCGTACTAGCTAAACAACACATGCATTCCCCTCTCTTTTTAATTCAGGAGTTCGTACTTGGAACACAAACTGTCTCAGGTTGATGCCACCTTGGAGTAACTTGTCTTTCTTTCAACAGATTACACCCATTGCATTCCCGCACTTGCTCACTGAAGGAAGAACCTCAGAAAGGATGGACAAATACCTTGCCATTTTCAGAACTGCATACAAAACCCACCTCTTCGAGCTCACCTTTTTTCACTCATGCACATATCTTTAAATTTAACCACACCGATTTCTCATTTTTACACTGTTGCTCTACGACAAGGAGGAAAAGTGAAGGGAAGAGGCTTTGTGGGGATCATTTTTTAATGTGGATAACACTCAAGTATTTTGGTGATGAGGCATTATGCATTCCAATTAAGAGGATAAAAGGAGAAAACACGAGTGGTCTTTGTTCCTGGGAAACAAAATACTGGCAATGGAGACTGTGATTAACCAGTTCAACACATCATGAAGGGAGAATAAAAGTATTTATTAGATTAGGTCACATTTAATAAATGGTTTCAGAAAAAAATATTCAGAAAGCAAATATGTTTGGGAAAGACTAAGCATTTCATTGCAGCATTTTCAGAACAAAACTATCAATGTTTCACTTCCAATTTAACTAACAAAAGTAAAATAAAGAGGGACTAAATAAACGGAAAACCAAATGTTTTGTCTCTGGTCAACCTCCTTTTCAGTTTATTGTTTTGATGGGGAGAAAATGAAAAAAATGTGGGTTGATCCCAAATTAGTTGTTTTCCTTGAGTTTTTTGGTTCAGCCATCATACCCACTAGCTTGACTAATGAGGCATAAAAAGCCTGAGCAGATATCTGCCTTGTCCTCATTACTGCCTCATTGTTCATTACTGAATGCATTTGAGGGTAACATCGAGCATACTTGACCTCTCAACATCTTCCCTTTTCTTTCTCAGGGCTTTAACTTCTTCACAGATATTTATCCCCTTCAGAGTGCCACTGCGTTCCTTCACTGCATACAGTGAGGTGCTTCAGCGTAGGCATAAATATCCGGATTTTACCCACACTTGGTACCGTCCAATTTTCCTTCTATTCACAATCCACAGTACTAACAAACATCGCTATTTTGTTTTTTTAATGATGTAATTTTTTTTACCAGGTAGTATATAAAGTAATAATCTTTCTGCATTTACTTAAGGTTTCACAAATTCATATGAGTTTTCCTAATGATTAATAATTCTGTGACAGCTAGTGATTAATAGAAATAATACTTTCATTCCTTCCCTAGAATAAGCAATACACAGTTCTGAGAATACGCAGAAAATACCTATGGCTTCAATGTCTGATTTTCCATTTCCCCCCCTCGGTTCTGTTACAGTTTGCCAAATTCTTGAATTCACTATACTTGGTTTGGAAAACTAAGTAGTTAAATCTAATAAAACTGAAAAAAACGCAAACAGAGTTTGCAGGGGTATCCCAGTTAAGAGAGTGCTAGAATTGACATACACCACTACTTTCCTGGACTCTCTCTCCCCGCCACAGCTAATTCTGCATGAATTGACGTGCTGATATGTTATCATACAAATACGTTTAAAGAGAATAAATAGAATAAGACCATGGCATCTGTGTAAATCCATTTGCTACACACTTTTTAGCTCCCAACTAGCCTTAAACCTAGTGCTATATACATCTGAATGAACTAGGATGAAAGTCATACATAAAAGCCTTCGAAAAAATTTTGCATTCTAAACTTAACGTGAAATAAAAAAAATACAGATCAATTACAGTGCAAATATGTAAAGCTTCATAAACTTAAGTGTTATGATCTGGTGATCAAGTGTTTATATATGCAGAGTACAACCCCAACACACATGCATCTTCCTTCACAGAAGATTCAGGGTCAAAATCACTCATTTAACAGAGCAGTGTTACTGGCCACTTATGAAAAAAAAATCCAGGCTAAGTTATAAAAGGGTAATTCCTATTGAATTATTTCTGTAGATACAACCGTAAAATCAGAGCACAGTATACTCACCTCACAGTTCACAGGAGCTCTACAGAACATAAATAAAAATCCTTATGCTCTCACAAAACACCTTCCAGGAGATCCATAAACTTCCAGGAAGGTTTGGAAGACTGAGTATCTACTTAGTGATTTCCAAAATGAGTACATGTCATCTCCTCTTCTTTGACCACGTATACCTACGTGAACTCTTGAAACTGTGATCTGTGATGCTCAGATGGTCTCTGTTACTGTACAGTACAGAGTAGCAGACTAACTTCATGACATACACTATAAAAACTGCTTTTCATGACTACAAATTACAGGATTTGTACTGTTTTATGTGCTTTTTTCACTGGAGGTCTTTGTCCCATTTTGTGCCTCAGGGTGTTGCAAGGGTATTTGAAAAAAGTGCCAAGGAAAGAAAGGCAGTAAGATTTCTGAGAGAGATAAAGGCCATCTGATTCAACATCTTTGTCTTTTAAAAATTCATTATTGCCCTAACTCCCTCCTTTCTGTTACCTTTGTTTCAAGAAATAATGTATTTCATTAGTTGTAAATCTCTTGCTTGCTTGCATTTCTAACTTATTTGTGTTTCTCTTGTATTTGTATTTAATTTCTCAAAATCTGGTGATTGGAGCATTTGTTCCACGATATGGCCCCGTATCGTCTGAAGCAGTCAGTATGCATGTTAGAAAAACAATAGTGGAATGGATGCTGGGTCTCTCTTCAGAACCTGACCCACAGCTTAGAAACAGAGTAGATCCAATCAATGTCCCAGCTACGAACCTCCCCCAGCAGTAAATC